GTAGTTGCGTCAGTGGGTTTTGTTGTTTCTTTTTGATGAACATCAACCGGTATAGTGGGAGCATCAGTAGCAACTGTTTTATCTTCATGAATTGGAGTCACAGGTACATCGGATGCCTCTGGTGTTTTCTCTTTATGCATATCCACAGTAGTAGTAGGTTCGTCGGTAACACTTTCTGTTTGATGTTCAGGAACTGGAGTAACCGGTGCATCTGTTGGCTTTCGTGTTTCTCCTTCATGAACTTCGACCAGAGAAGTAGGTTCATCGGTAACACCTTCCGTTATTGATTCTTTATCAAATGGAGTAACAGGTGCATCTGTAACTCTTTTTGCCTCTGTTTTTTCTTCATCAACTGGAGTTACAGGTGCATCTGGAGCAGTAGTTGCATCAGTGGGTTTTGTTGTTTCTTTTTGATGAACATCAACCGGTATAGTGGGAGCATCAGTAGCAACTGTTTTATCTTCATGAACTGGAGTAACAGGTACATCGGATGCCTCTGGTGTTTTCTCTTTATGCATATCCACAGCAGTAGTAGTAGGTTCATCGGTAACATTTTCTGTTTGATGTTTAGGAACTGGAGTAACCGGTGCATCTGTTGGCTTTCGTGTTTCTCTTTCATGAATATCAACCGGAGAAGCAGATTCATCCGTAACACTTTCTGTTATTGATTCTTTATCAAATGGAGTAACAGGTGCATCTGTAACTCTTTCTGTTTCTGTTTTATCTTCATCAATTGGGGTTACAGGTGCATCTGGAGCAGTAGTTGCATCAGTGGGTTTTGTTGTTTCTTTTTGATGAACATCAACCGGTATAGTGGGAGCATCAGTAGCAACTGTTTTATCTTCATGAATTGGAGTAACAGGTACATCGGATGCCTCTGGTGTTTTCTCTTTATGCATATCCACATTAGTAGTAGGTTCATCGGTAACACTTTCTGTTTGATGTTCACGAACTGGAGTAACTAGTGCATCTGTTGGCTTTCGTGTTTCCCCTTCATAAACATCGACCGGAGAAGTAGGTTCATCGGTAACACCTTCCGTTATTGATTCTTTATCAAATGGAGTAACAGGTGCATCTGTAACTATTTCTGTTTCTGTTTTATCTTCATCAACTGGAGTTACAGGTGCATCTGGAGCAGTAGTTGCATCAATGGGTTTTGTTGTTTCTTTTTGATGAACATCAACCGGTATAGTGGGAGCATCAGTAGCAACTGTTTTATCTTCATGAACTGGAGTAACAGGTACATCGGATGCCTCTGGTGTTTTCTCTTTATGCACATCCACAGTAGTAGTAGGTTCGTCGGTAACACTTTCTGTTTGATGCTCACGAACTGGAGTAACCGGTGCATCTGTTGGCTTTCGTGATTCTCCTTCATGAACTTCGACCGGAGAAGTAGGTTCATCTGTAACACCTTCCGTTATTGATTCTTTATCAAATGGAGTAACAGGTGTATCTGTAACTCTTTTTGTTTCTGTTTTTTCTTCATCAACTTGAGTTACAGGTGCATCTGGAGCAGTAGTTGCATCAGTGGGTTTTGTTGTTTCTTTTTGATGAACATCAACCGGTATAGTGGGAACATCAGTAGTAACTGTTTTATTTTCATGTACTGGAGTAACAGGTACATCGGATGCCTCTGGTGTTTTCTCTTTATGCATATCCACAGTAGTAGTAGTAGGTTCATCGGTAACACTTTCTGTTTGATGTTTAGGAACTGGAGTAACCGGTGCATCTGTTGGCTTTCGTGTTTCTTCTTCATGAACATCAACCGGAGAAGTAGATTCATCCGTAACACTTTCTGTTATTGATTCTTTATCAAAAGGAGTAACAGGTGCATCTGTAAATCTTTCTGTTTCTGTTTTATCTTCATCAACTGGAGTTACAGGTGCATCTGGAGCAGTAGTTGCGTCAGTGGGTTTTGTTGTTTCTCTTTGATGAACATCAACCGGTATAGTGGGAGCATCAGTAAGAACTGTTTTATCTACATGAATTGGAGTAACAGGTACATCGGATGCCTCTGATGTTTTCTCTTTATGCACATCCACCGTAGTAGTAGTAGGTTTATCGGTAACACTTTCTGTTTGATGTTCACGAACTGGAGTAACCGGTGCATCTGTTGGCTTTCGTGATTCTCTTTCATGAACTTCGACCGGAGAAGTAGGTTCATCGGTAACACCTTCCGTTATTGATTCTTTATCAAATGGAGTAACAGGTGCATCTGTAACTCTTTTTGTTTCTGTTTTTTCTTTATCAACTGGAGTTACAGGTGCATCTGGAGCAGTAGTTGCATCAGTGGGTTTTGTTGTTTCTTTTTGATGAACATCAACCGGTATAGTGGGAGCATCAGTAGCAACTGTTTTATCATCATGAACTGGAGTAACAGGTACATCAGATGCCTCTGGTGTTTTCTCTTTATGCATATCCACTGTAGTAGTAGTAGGTTCATCTGTAACACTTTCTGTTTGATGTTTAGGAACTGGAGTAACCGGTGCATCTGTTGGCTTTCGTGTTTCTCCTTCATGAACATCGACCGGGGAAGTAGATTCATCCGTAACACTTTCTGTTATTGATTCTTTATCAACTGGAGTTACAGGTGCATCTGGAGCAGTAGTTGCATCAGTGGGTTTTGTTGTTTCTTTTTGATGAACATCAACCGGTATAGTGGAAGCATCAGTAGCAACTGTTTTATCTTTATGAATTGGAGTAAGAGGTACATCGGATGCCTCTGATGTTTTCACTTTAAGCACATCCACAGTAGTAGTAGGTTCGTCGGTAACACTTTCTGTTTGATGTTCACGAACTGGAGTAACCGGTGCATCTGTTGGCTTTCGTGTTTTCCCTTCATGAACATCGACCTGAGAAGTAGGTTCATCGGTAACACCTTCCGTTATTGATTCTTTATCAAATGGGGTAACAGGTGCATCTGTAACTCTTTCTGTTTCTGTTTTTTCTTCATCAACTGGAGTTACAGGTGCATCTGGAGCAGTAGTTGCATCAGTGGGTTTGGTTGTTTCTTTTTGATGAACATCAACCGGTATAGTGGGAGCATCAGTAAGAACTGTTTTATCTACATGAATTTGAGTAACAGGTACATCGGATGCCTCTGGTGTTTTCTCTTTATGCAAATCCTCAGTAGTAGTAGTAGGTTCATCGGTAACACTTTCTGTTTGATGTTCACGAACTGGAGTAACCGGTGCACCTGTTGGCTTTCGTGTTTCTCCTTCATGAACATGAACCGGAGAAGTAGATTCATCCGTAACACTTTCTGTTATTGATTCTTTATCAAATGGAGTAACAGGCTGTCTCTTATACACATCTAGATGTGTATAAGAGACAGGGAACTGGAGTAACCGGTGCATCTGTTGGCTTTCGTGTTTTTCCTTCATGAACATCGACCGGAGAAGTAGGTTCATCGGTAACACCTTCCGTTATTGATTCTTTATCAAATGGAGTAACAGGTGCATCTGTAACTCTTTCTGTTTCTGTTTTTTCTTCATCAACTGGAGTTACAAGTGCATCTGGAGCAGTAGTTGCATCAGTGGGTTTTGTTGTTTCTTTTTGATGAACATCAACCGGTATAGTGGAAGCATCAGTAGTAACTGTTTTATCTTCATGAACTGGAGTAACAGGTACATCGGATGCCTCTGGTGTTTTCTCTTTATGCATATCCACAGTAGTAGTAGTAGGTTCATCAGTAACACTTTCTGTTTGATGTTCAGGAACTGGAGTAACCGGTGCATCTGTTGGCTTTCGTGTTTTCCCTTCATGAACATCGACCTGAGAAGTAGGTTCATCGGTAACACCTTCCGTTATTGATTTTTTATCAAATGGAGTAACAGGTGCATCTGTAACTCTTTCTGTTTCTGTTTTATCTTCATCAACTGGAGTTACAGGTGCATCTGGAGCAGTAGTTGCGTCAGTGGGTTTTGTTGTTTCTTTTTGATGAACATCAACCGGTACAGTGGGAGCATCAGTAGCAACTGTTTTATCTTCATGAATTGGAGTAACTGGTACATCGGATGCCTCTGGTGTTTTCTCTTTATGCATATTTACAGTAGTAGTAGGTTCATCGGTAACACTTTCTGTTTGATGTTCAGGAACTGGAGTAACCGGTGCATCTGTTTGCTTTCGTGTTTCTCCTTCATGAACATCGACCGGAGAAGTAGGTTCATCGGTACCACCTTCTGTTATTGATTCTTTATCAAATGGAGTAGCATCAGTAGCAACTTTTGTTTTTATGTCATCATGAAGTGGAGTAGCAGATGCATCGGTAGCAACTTCTGTTGCATCTTTATGAACTGGAGTAGCTGGTGCATCTGTTGGCTTTTGTGTGCTTTTTTCATGAACATCAACCGGAGACGTAGGTTCCTTGGTAACACCTTCTGTTTTATCTTCTTTATCAACTTTATTTACATCAGTTGTTATTGTTTGTTTTTTTTCTTTAGCTTCAATCGTAGTAGCAGGTGCTTCGGTGGCAGTAGTTGTATCTGTTGTTTTTGCTTTTTCTGTTTTAACACCAAGCGGAGTAATAGGTTCTTCAGTAGTAATAGAATCATCAAATGTAATTGTAATGTTGGAAGGTCTGACTGTTGATTTAATGCAGTCCTTTGAGAGTGGCTTTCTTGGGTCTGTGAAAAATTAACATATATTAGAGATTCTTTACTTGTGTATTCAGTAAACCTGATTTCGAAAATAAATACAGTGTTCAGTAATCTACATGCTTTTCTGTTATGATTTTTTGTTTCAACATCTAATATATATATATATATATATATATATATATATATATATATATATATG